GCTGCTGCAACAACTGCTGCGCTGCTGCTGCCTACAGCAGCAGCAGGGACCTGGTTGAAGAAGGCGGCAGCCTGCCGCTGCACCTGCAGCAGCAGCAAACAGACACGCGCGCAGGCTGCCTGCAACAGCCGGCTCGTCGAGGCACATCGCGCAGCAGCAGCAGCAGCAACAGCAGCAGCAGCAACAGCAGCAGCAGCAGCAAAGCCTACGGCAGGGAGCGAGTCGTGAATAGCAGATAGCTGGAAAGGGTTGGGCAGCCTGTGCGGGTGCTGCTGCTGCTCGTACAGCAGCGCTTCTGCCCGCTGCGCTGCAACAGCAGCAGAAGCTCTTTTTGCTGCTGCTACAGAATCAAAGCCCTCGCGCCGCCAGACTGACTGCTGCTGCAGCAGCCGGTGCTGCTGCTGCACCGCCTGCAGCGAGCAGGGCTCTGGCTGCTGGCCGGAGAGGTCCCCTGCTGCAGCTCGGCTCTGCTGCTGCTGCTGCTGCTGCTGCTGCTGCAGACGCCGGTCTGCATACATATATTCGTACACAAGTTCCTGGTCTAAACAGTTAAAATCCGTGGCCCAGTCTGCTACGGTCTCTGCCATTTGCTGCTGCTCCTCCTGCAGCAGCCGAAATGCTTCTTCTTGCTGCTGCTCTGTTGCTGAAGCAGCAGCAGCGCGCCCGCCCGCGCCGTCGCCCTCCGCTGCAGCAGCAGCAGCAGCAGCAGCTGCTGCTGCTGCTGCTGCAGCTGCTGCTGCGCCCCTGCCCCGGCCCCGGCCGCCGCGGGAGCCACGCACAGGAGCTTGCACCGTGTCCTCCTCGTGCTGCTGCTGCTGCAGCAGCCGCCTAGCTGCTGCTGCTGCTCCTCTGCGGCCGCGGCCCCTGCTGGGAGCAGCAGCAGCACAGCAAAAGATGGAGGCATCGAAAACCCTAAAGGGCTGCGTTGTTAACATGCGAACAAGCGGCACCTGCACAAGCTGCTGCTGCTCTTGTGGCACTGCTGCTGCTGCTGCTGCTGCTGCTGGAGTCCCTGTCGCTGGCAACGCTGCTGCAGCCTCGCTGCAGTCGCCCGCACACAGCGCCGGCGTTCCCGCTCCTGGCCCTTCTGGAGTGTTGCTGCTGCCGCTGTTGCTGCTGCTGCTGTTGCCGGGGCTGCTGCTGCTGCTGCTGCTGTTGCTGCAATGTATGCCTGCATTGTGCGCTGAAGAGGCGTTCCGCGCTGCAGCAGCGCATGCGGCCTGTGCTGCTTCTGCTGCTGCTGCTTCTGCTGCTGCTGCTTCTGCTGCCAAAGGAGGTTCAACCCGCTTGATGCCGGCGAGGTCCTCTGCTGCCCCCGGCGCAGCAGCAGCAGCAGCACTTGCTGCTGCTGCTGCTGGTTCTCCCCGCAGGGTGTCTATGGGCTCGCGCTCCAGGCGCCGCTGCAGCAGCAGCAGGCGGCACGCATCGGCCCCCGCCACTTGCTGCTGGTCCTGCTGCTGCTGCTGCTGCCGCTGCTGCTCCTTGTCCAAAGACAAACAAGGATTTACCCAACTTTGGTGCAGCAGCGCATCCACCCTAACTGACTTCCGCTGCCTGCTGCCGCTGAGGGCCCTCATGTAGAGGCGGCCTGCAGCAGCAGCAGCAGCAGCTGCGCAGCACAGCAGCAGCAGCAGCAAACGTTCAAGCAGCAGCAGCAGCACAACCGCAGCCCCAGTAACGCAAAGACCACACCTCAGCAGCAGCAGCAGCAGCAGCGGATAGGGACGCAGCACGAAAAGCTGTACAGGCCACGATAAATTAAAAATTAAGGAAAAACGCACCGCCGTCAGCGTCGCGAGCATCTCCTGCTGCAGCTGCTGCTGCTGCTGCTGCTGCAGCGCCCGGCGGCTGCGAGGGGGACTGCCCCCCACGAGCGCTGGAAGAGCTCATTGCCGTCTGTTGAGAAGCCAGAATGTGCTGTTGCTGCTCATTCTGGCGACCGTTTGCTGCTAAACTGCTGCTGCTGCTGCTGCTGCTGCTACTGCCTCCGGCGCCCACCGGGACTCAGCTGCTGCGAGCTGCTGCTGCACTGGAGGTCCTCGCGCTGCAGTTTACGCCTTTATGCAGCAAGGCCGCATGCAAGATAATCCGCAGCCTTGTGGTGCCCCCCTGCTGCTGCTTCAGGGGCCCCCTAGTGCTGCTGCTGCGCCGCAGCGCAGCAGCCTGTCCACGCCGTCCGGAGCCCTGCTGCTGCTGCTGCAGCTGCTGCTAATGCTGCTGCTGATCTCCGACAGCAGGAGAAGGAGGATGAGCGGTTGGTGCGTTTCTTGTTCTTGCTGCTGCTGCAGCAGCAGCTGCAGGGTACAGAGAAGCTCCTGAGGCGGGCTTGCCAGGGCCCGCTGCAGCAGAGACTAGCGCCGTGCTGCTGCAGCAAATCCACCTTGAGTTTGAGGTGGCCCTTCTGTAATATGTAATAAGGAAAAATTGTGGGATTGCGACGGCAGCAGCAGCAGCAGCGGCTGCTGCTGCGCCGCAGCCCAGTATGCCTAGGACGGGCAGTGGCTGCAGCAGACCCGCTGCTGCTGTTGCTGCTGTCCCCCGCGAAGACACGAGGGGGGAAGTAGACGTTCCCTTAGAGGATCATATGGCGAGGGTTAAAGACTCTTAATTGATCTACAAGCCTTGCTTTGGATCTCTATGCACAGCAGCAAGCAGCAGCCAATGCTGTTGCTGCTGGCTTACATTGTTGCTGCTGGCTTAGTCATGCGTCTGCTGCTGCGTACCCCCATTAAAACAGCTAATTCGCAAGAGCTCAGGCTCTGGCTTCACAGAGAAGCCCTTGGGGCCTTACTATTCTATGGGGCAGAAGCACTAGCAGCAGCAGCAAGACTAAGAACAACACCAGTAGCCGTAGCTTGGCTGCAACAGCAAGCGGCAACACAGCGCCGCTCAGGGTCTTTGCGGCGCCTAGAGAGGCCTAAATACAGCGTTTCTGTCCTGCTAGTTTTTAATTTTATTTATTTCAATTATTACACACAGCCCACCGTGAAATCTGCTTCGTGAACGGCAATACCTGTATTGCTGCAGCAACAGCAGCAGCAGCAGCTGCTGCTGTTGCCGCTGCGGCTGCTGCAAAGACAAGAGGGGGTTGTTGTCATGCCCGCTGGCCACCCAGCGCCCGCTGTCAGGGCTCTTTCTACGGATTTTGTTTTAATTCACAAAAGTACACCATTGTGGTACATTTTAGGGATTTTCTGGCGTTGCTTTCGCCGGCAGTGCAGCAAAAACTTTTAGGCGCGCAGCCCCCCCGTCTGTGGCCCCCGCTGCTGCCGCTTCCTTGGCCTGCCTGCCGCCGCAACCAGAATCCTTTCTTTCTTTTGCATGTCTCTTTTCGTTTTGCTTTTTACTGGGGGGTCTCACTGAGCGTAGAGGGCAGCAGCAGCAAGACGTGCTGCCCCCGCATCAACTGTGTTCGCCTGTGTGGCTGTAACAAGAGCAGCAGCAACGGAGTTGTTGTGCTATTATGGCCTCGAGCCCTTGAGCTTAAAACTAATTCATAAACAAGTCCGAATAATGCACTTTCTCTCCCCTCTCTAGGGTTTCCGAAAGCCCCGTCTAGGCCGAGAGCGGCTCCACTGTGTAACGGTCGCTCTAGGGTTTGCAGCAGCAGCAGCAGCAGCACAGGCTTTTGCTGCAGCTGCTGGGTATGGTGATGGCTGCAGCGCCTACCTTACAGCTATACGCATGTTTCTGCAAACAGCTATTAACGGGGCCTGGCAAAACTACAGAAATAGTCGTAAAAGTCCCGTTCAATGCAAAAGCTTTGTAGAAAGTCTGATTCTCTGATGAAGTGTTGAATTTTGTGGCAATTCCAGCACGCAATTGCTGGCTATGTGTGTACTGAGGCCGCATGGCTGCAAAAAGGTACTTGGGCGCAACTTGTAGCGAATTTGCTGCGTCCCATGCTGTCCTATTTGTACGGACTGTTCTGGGACTTGCTGCTGCAGCGCTGTTTCTTCCTTCAAAAGCATTTATTTCATTTGTTTTGAATGGAGCGAATTTGTCCGATTCTCAAAGGGGCCTAACTCCTTTATCGGTGTCCGCAGTCCTTGAATCTGAACTACCTCTTTTTAATCTGCAATTTTGATCATCTGAGGGATGCATTGGATCCTTGTAGTTTCGTTCTCTGTGGACTTTCTCTGTGGACTGTACATACATTGCTTCTGGTGAGCGGATATTTAAATCCCATCATGCGGCATTTTAATAGCCTTCGTGCAATTGAGTTGGTGGTTTTATTTGGCCTCAAGATCAGCCTTTGGGAAAAAGGGGGATACGCTTGAAGCTTCGCTGAAGCCTCATTTCTGGAGCATAACTTGCCTCAATTGTTTAATGTTTTTCCGTTGAGCTCTACTGAGCTGATCCTTTTTAGTAAACGCGCACTGCGTGGAGGGCAGTGTCTACTGCAGTAAAATAGAAGGCCAGGGTGCAGACGGGTTTATAATTGCGGATAATGCAGGGAGTTGTGACTTCTTATTTCTTTAACGACCTGATGAAAATTCATCTCAGGCTTCGCCCTGCATGGCTGAGTGGTAAATAGACCTCATGTCCAGCCACCTGCCTACAGTGCAGGTTTCAAACAAAAAGCATCCCGTACTTTTGGGGGCTGCACCCCAGCCTCCAACGTTCGATATCCCAGTCAAGACTTCGTGTGCCCGCTTACATTAATGTTATTACGAAGGGCATTATGGCTTATTTAATATTATTTGATGCATGTTAAACGAGTGAAGAGAAGCTTCTGGAAAGCATACCGGTGACTGACTCCTGGGATCAGAGAGTGCGCGCCTCAGCTTTCTTTGCGTGTTATGACGAAGGATCTGGATTTCAGGTTGTAAGGCGAGTTCCAAGGCGGCTTTGCTGCTTAATGTGCTGGCATGGTGGTGGCGAAGACACTGTGTTGTGCAGCAAGGAACAGAAAAACTCGTTTCTATCTATACGGAGGCCTCAAGAAATCGGGGGGAACAGACGGCTCTGTAAACGGCAGCTCGCGTTGTTTCCTTTGCGGCCAACGTCAAAGACGTCAAGCATATTAAACATATTTTCCAAAGCGGTATAAACCGGGTAGGTTAGCAAGTACTTACGTATTACGCAGCAATCGACGTCAAAATGGTAAGCTTGGTACATACTGGAATATAGTGTGCAGCACTCCGGTGGAGCCCAGAAGTGGGCGTCAATGTCCTATAATTCCACATGCGTGTATTCACAAAGTGATAGCGGGAAATAAGTCAACGGGACTTTGTCCTTGGGTGATAATATATCCCCACCCTCCCTCTGCATCTGGGCCAGGGCTTTGGGCTGGAAAGAGCCACTTCGGCTGCGCCTCCCGCTGCTGTAGCCAGGGAGGAACACTGGGGAGAGAAAGGTGTATAAAGTTTGGGCTTGCAATGGCCCTTCTTGGCCTCTTCTGAAGCTTTAACGGGGTCTCTAGTGATAAGTGATACATCTGCACGTATGTGGCCAGAACAGGAGAGATATGCTTGAGCCATACTGGGAATAGTTCACTTATCGAAGCTCCTCTCAAGCTCCACCTGCTGCAGGGCGGCTTATGGCTGGAGACTTTGCTATGCTGCTGCTAGCTAAGGTCCTCTAATTGCTGGCCCTCTTATTGCACTGTTAAACCCCGTCAAGCAACCACAAATATTGCAGGGAAATATAGTCTAGGAAGCTTGCTCTTAGGATGCGGCACCGTGCCATTTCTACCCACCACGGCGTTTGATCGGATGTCGAGGAACTAGTCATCTTCTGAGTGCAAATCACAGCTAGTTCAGATCAAAAAGAGACAGAGGAAAGTGATGAATTGTGAAGGGTTACCTGACAAACCTTGCAAAGACTTACTTTGCGAAGGCTGCTGTTTCAAGAGAGCCCGCATGCGCTAGCGCAGCTATGCAACCGACCCTCATGATCTGTCTGAAAGCAGATGACGGAGACTTAATAGTTGATTCCTCATGGCGCCCCCACGATTGTGCTTGGAAGAAAACTCTACTTATCGGTGCGGCCAGCTGAGTCTGAATTAGCCCGCCTTCTCAGGTACTTTTTCGTCTTTCAAGTGAGCCCGCAAGTGCTGCCGTGGGTTTCTTGATACTTAAAGAAATTCGAGCCCCAGCACCCCAATGATCAAGTCTCACAGCTATATAATTACCAGGCACTAGCCCTGCACTGGCTGAAGCCACAGAACTCCGTCGGCTGCAGGCACGCCTCTCACTCAAGCCGAACTTTCATCTGCCTGACAAAATGACTAGTCGACAGGAATGGCATTTCTGTCGATAGGAATGAAAAATCTGATAACCGCCAAAGAAACAAGATAAGGGAGGTGAAGCCTGAACGCCTCCAGTTGGCTAAGCCCAGAAAGCCTCAACGGGGCAGATCTATGTCCATTATATATCTAATACATTTTTTATGGTCACTTGAACTATCTCCTCTTCTTATGGTTAAACCATTCGTTAGGCATACCTCCTGCCCGTCAGAGACTTCTCGGCGAATAAATGCCTCAATTCCCTATCGCAGAGCTAAACCGTTTTTTTTCTTGCCGATGGTGCTTTTTCGTGTGTTAGCTTGAATTCATCATTTGCGTTCCTCACGTTTGCTTTTTTACGGGCTGGATATATTTCGTTGCACCTCGCACACTCATAATCATTCTTTGAGCGGACTCACTCTTTATCATCATATTTTCTTGTTAAACCATTTTAGTTCGAGTTAAACTCATTGGCCTTTTTACTGCTTTTGGCTAGTTTCAGTGGGAACAGTTCTAATCACGAAGTGTAGAAGGCTGCGGCATTTAGTGTTTAGCCTGCTCGTATGCTTTCCTCCAGTTTCTCTGTGCTGCACAGTCGGCTAAGCCATTCTAGTTTGAAACATTTCCTTGGGCAATACATATTTGCACCGAGTGTATTGCA